TACTCACTTCCCTCGGCTGCTCTTCTGTGACGAATTCGTGCTCATCGTCTCGAAAATGTCGAACATCTCTCCAATCATTTTTGCTCCGATATCTCCCCCTGCCACATTGTCAACCATATACTGCAAGTTCTGATGGAGGGAGTTGTAGAAGCAGTTGATTAGTAGCCCCGGAGAGAGGTTGTGATGAGGGCATTGCCGCCGGAGATCCTTGAACCGCTCCCAAGCCTCGTGAAGAGGCTCATTCGGTAGTTGAGCAAATGAGACGATTTGCGCCTGGAGCTCCTGGGTCTTCTGATGGGAGTAGTACCTCCCAATGAACTTCGTGTATACTTCGGTCCTAATGAGAGAATCCGGTGCGAGGGTCATGAACCAAGCCTTGGCTCGGTCCTTCAGTGTCTCGGGAAAACACCTCATCTTCAATTGCTCCTCGCTGAGCCCGTGGAGAGGAAAGGTCTACAGCACATTGTAGAATTCCCGAATGAAGTTAAGCGGGTCTTCATTTGGGAGCCCGTGGAAGGATGGCGGCTGGTTGTAATGGATCATCTTAAGCTCGTAGTTTCGAGCTTCTTGTGGCAACCGGATGCATGAAGTTATCGGCCCAATCGTCGGATGGGCTAAGTCTTGAAGGAGATCGCGATGTTGAAGAGCCATGTCTGGCTTTGTGGTATTAGAGGAATCGAGGCTGAGTTTGTCAAACAGCTTTACGCATACACAAAGACAAAAGAAACCGTCACGAGCACCAGATAAACAAAGAATAAAGCTAAAGAAAACAAGAGATAGTAGACTAAACTAAAGAAACAAAGAGAAACACGAAAACAAGAAAAATCACAAGAAATAAGAGAAACACTAAAAAAAACGAATAGGCGCACAATTATAGTCCTAAACCTTCCCCGGCAACAACGCCAATTTTGTTGTCAGTATTTTTACCGGAGTAGAATCAAAAGATTCGTCCCCCCGGGTCGTATCGCAAGGAAGGTTAGCCGGATATTCTTGTGCGCTTATTCAATCACGAAAAAGAGAAAACAAATTCCTAAACACTCTAGTTCAATATTTTGGAGTTTTCGATTATCAACTAAGGATACTAAAACTAGATTAAATGCAAGTAAAATGGCAAATAAATTCACTGAATGGTTAAAGAGCTAGGGAATCGGGGATAATTTCTTTCGGTTCTAACATAATCACCGGCAATCAATTGATCGGTTAAAGGACTTGAATTGTTTCTCGTTCAGAGGTTCACTCTCAATAACTCTTCGTAACAAGAGAGTGAATGTAAACGATCGACTATCAATTCCAACAACACATAGATTATACATTTCCGAACAAATTTTTTCTAAACGAGCCTAATTCGACCAACGTCTCCCCTCTCGGTTCTACACGTTGATTATCCAGGTTAGAAAGGTGATCAATCTACTAACCCTATAATTCACACAACTCGCATAGACATGAACAATCAAAAGCATTCAATCATTATCGAAGCTAATCAATCATCCCCTATCCCTAGCGAATGGATTTAGCTACTCAATGAAATCTAACATCACAATTCATATTAACCCTAGCCATCATCATCAACAAAAAAATTGAGAAAAAGAACTCACGATTAATGATAAGAATTCAATGTCAAATCCAAGTGCATCCAAATCCAAAGTAGAGAAAAGGAGTTTTCAATCTCCAAAACAAATCCAAAGTGCAAAAGTATGAAAAGAAATGAGTTTCTAGAGAGAAAAAACGTAAAAACAAAGTCTGGAAGTCGAATTATGAACCCTAGGATCGAAGTCTGCTCTAAAAATCCCATCCTCGAAATTTGCGCCAGACAAGTCGCGAGTCGCGAGATAGTCAATTCCTCGGTCGCGAGTCGCGGCTTCCTCGCGAGTCGCGCATCGTCAAAAATCTTAAACTTCTGGGGTTGGTCGCGACCTCAACTCGCGAGTCGCGACTTCGTCTCGTGAACTGCTCCTCAAGACTCTGTTTTTCTCGCGGGTCGCGAGATTTTCTGGGCACGGTTTCTGTCCGTTTTTTTCAGTCCTCTTCGTCGTTTTCTGGCTCGGCCACGGGAGTTCTCGATATCACGGTCTCGGCTCAAGCAGTCCCAACTCGACCGGCACAACCTATCTCCTAAAAACACAAAAATAAGGAAAAACACGAAGCAAAACACGGCAAAAAGACACAAAAATATAAACTAAAGACAAAAGCACAAAACAAAAGAAATGGACCAAATAAACTACGAAAAACCTACAAATGGGGGAAAACAACAAGAAAATAAACATGAAATAAAGACACAAAAATAGGATAAACAATATACAATGAGAAAAAAAAATTGATTTTCTAACAGCAACCTTATTGAGAAAAGTTGTAAACGAGATCGTTGAATATCTTTTTGCAACTGAGGTCGGTTTCGGATTTTAGAAATAAAAATCGAACAAGTCCATGACAACTTCATTACTCTAAATCAAAGTACAATCGAACAACCAACTAGTTAGTAGGAGAACAACTCCGCCACAAAGAAAAAAATGGAGTAGACTCCACTCGAGGAGATCCAAGAGACTTCCCCTCAATTGCAAACATAGCTAACAAAACACAAACTAAACTGAAGACTTAAAGGAACTACAACCCAACAAAACAACTAAAGTATAGATGTCCAAACACAAAGTAAAAAAACAAAGCATTACAACAAGAACTACGGAAGTTGGACAAGGCATGAGCAACTGAAGAAGTAGTGAAACAGGTGAAATTATGCCATCATCCCTTACCTTGAGCAAATTCAAGACTCCACCGAAGGGCATGAAATTCTGGCTCCCCTTGGGAAGTAATGAACTCCAATGAGGCTGAAAAAGAGCTCTCTTCTTTGCCAACTAACAAGAAAAAACAACTCATCATTGAAAATCCAGAAAGCTCAACTTTAGCACAGACAACTAAGACTAAATTGTCCTACTTCAGCTGAGCAAATAACTGGTTGGATTGATCCACCCTACTATTTGCTAACAAAATTGAAGTGTACACTCATATTATTAAATATCGTTTTTTTTTAAATTATAGCATTTCATACGAAAATATGTAAATATTAATTTTATACATTTTTCCATGCCGAATGATATTAAAATTACGCATCTATCATACGTTGTCGATGATGTACATATATTATACATGATACAAAAATAGAAAATACAACTTCAAATAGAAAATTTAGCATATTTTAGCTCATGTCATTGATAATGGATGTAGTGGTCATGTATATGAAAGTGTATGCGAAGCGCTAGCTAGGTGGTCCATCCACCTTTCTATGCAATTGTATATGCAGTGTCGTGAATCATTGTTAAGGATGCTCATGATTTCACTTTTTTCTTTGCCCAAAAATAGAGAGTTACAATCTAATTCAGATTACACATAATTCATTTTACAACTAAAGTTAGTTGTAAGTATTCTAGGTGATACACAGAAGTTAATAAACCAACGAGCACAATTCTATATATGTTGCAAGAAACAGCGGATCGAAATTTCCTTTTTCTCCTTTATATCTTATTTATTTATATTTCTCGATTTAATTATCAAGCATCTACATCACAGAATATGTCCATTTTCTGTCTCCCTCAGAAGTAAACAAGTTGTGTCGGTAAAATATTATTAATTAATTACGACTTTTCAATAACTAAATGATGAACAATGAATTAGCAATAAGTAAAATTCTCGGTAAAACTTGTTACTTGAAAAAGATAACAACTGAATTAATATGATTTATGTTATGACCTTTCATTTGCGATCAAATATTGTTGTGACTCGCATTAATTTTGGTTGCTACTTTGTTGTGGGGTACAAAATTTCACCTCAATTGCTTTCAATCAAGTGCAAAATGGTACCCTTCTTTGTGTAGCTAAGTACTTGTGCCCACAGGCGGCCAAATACTTGTCGGGTCCTTTTGAGCATGATTGGATATAAATCCAACAAAAAAAAATTCATTTATTTTTAACTCAACTCCACTATCATCAATATTATCAATATAATTAAATAATATCAATCAATCATTCTTACACACAATATCAACCTTAATTCACTATTCATCAACTCACATAATTTTAACTAACCATCACATCACATCTTCTCTCCTACTTTTATATTAATTTAATTTTAATTATTTTATTTTAAATATTATTTAAATATATCAACTAACAACTAATCATACCAACTTTTTCAAATTTAACTAACCCAAACCAAAAATCCAATCAAAACAAAAACTTTTTATATCCCTCTTTGTAATCGAGAAAAGAAAGGCGGATGGCCATGATTTTGATTTATTGATGTCTGTATTTAAGGGCAGTGAGAGTGTAAGCGAGTGTGGTGTGGGGGAGAAGACTTGACTTAAAGACTGAAAAAATAAAAGGTAAAATCTGTCTCCATCGGCCAGGGAACAACGAATGGACACCCATTTATGGGAAAATAAAATACTTCCTCATATTATATATTGCCTTGGAGAGAAACTTATTTTACAAAAATTAATATTTTTCTTCTTTGTAACTTTTTTTTTTTCCTTTTTCCTTGTGTTACTGTTTTGTTGAGATTGGATAATGCTGAAAGCAAGAAAGAGATGGAGTTTGAGCAAGTCCTTGGGAAAAAGTACTGGAAGATTTTTTATTTTTTTATTATTTTTATTTTTTTATTTTTTTTTTGAATCTGAGACACCAAAAGACATCTTTTGCAGACAATTTAATTATAGATAGTCACTGTNCTACATGAAAAAGTCGTGTTTTAATCACCAACAGAAATTTTTGTGTTCACCGGCAACTCGTTTAGAATTTTAGATTTATGAAACAAATCGAGCTTTCACGAACTTAAATGAGCCGAGTCGAACCAACTTGGTTGTTTCTTAAAACGAACACATTCAATTTACTCGGCTAATTCGACTCTGGCTCGGATCAAACAACACACCTCCACTTTCACTTCAGATCCCAACTACGTATCAAAAGTCAAAACGAAGCAGAACTTCCAATAGAAAAACAAGCAAATAATATCTTACCGTACACATTTAATTGGAAGCTGAAATCAACCCGGTACAAACAAGAACATGAAAACAAATATTCCTACCGTAAAAAATGTGTCTATATCATTCGTCCCTATTTACAATTGAGAATTTCATTTGATAAAAAATAAAATAAAAAATCTATGGCACCACCTGGTGAAGAAGTATTAGAGCAGCAACAGCATTCCCTCTCTGCACATAGTATGTTGAATTTTGAAAAAATAAATAAACAAATAAATAAAATAAATGTCAAGGAAAGTGCCCGAAAGCTGCAGCAGACAGCCCCTGCAAGAAATGCTTCCCATACATTTCTATATCCTGTTGCTGCTGTTGCTGCTGCTGCTGTTGCATATACTGATTTTGATGATAATGCCAATTGATTCCATTTCCCGATAAAGACCCATTTTCAACCCCCTGCCCAAACTGCCCCTCAGCCGTGTTACCCTGAACCTGTACAGTATTCCCCATAAAATGCGGAGCATGCATATATTCGGCCCACTTGGCATCCTCTGCAACAACAATCCCAGGGCCTAACGAGGCCGTGTGGCCCTCATCTTCCTTTGCGGACTTCCCATAACTTTCTTGACCTCCCCAAGTCTCGAAAAACCCGATACTGCTGCTGCTGTTGCCCGCATCCCAGTTTTCAAACTTGACTCCATACGTTGGGTCAGTACTCGCGAAGCTGATTGAACTCTTCATTCTGGCAAACGGGTCGGGCCCCACCTGCTTGGAGCCCGGCCCGTAGCTCGTCTGCTGGAAGGAGAGGAGCCCAGGAAAAAACTCATGATTCTTATTGTTGTTGGTAGTGTTATTAATGTTGATGTCAGTAAGTGGTTTGTCGGCGGGTAAGGAGTTGGTGAGGTCGCTGGAGGAGGCGTCGGATGTCTTGGGAGGGGCATTATCGTCATTTGGCGAGAGGGGTTTGTGGGTGTTGGGGTCAATGCCCCTCTGCCTTAGCTTTTTCTTGATGGATGAGTTCCACAGGTTCTTTATCTCGTTGTCCGTCCTTCCCGGAAGTTGTGCGGCTATCTGTGACCACCTGATTTTTTTCATTTTCATTTTTTTTAATTACGTTTCTTTTATGTATATATAAATATGAATAAAATAAAATAATACAAAGGGGTACCTGTTGCCAAGCACGGCATGCAGTTCAATTATGAGCTTCTCTTCTTCCGGTGAAAATGTGCCTCTCTTAAGGTCGGGCCTCAGGTAATTGATCCACCTCAGCCTGCAGCTCTTTCCGCACCTCTGGAGGCCTTTAACATAACCAAAGTTCATTCACAAATAATATATAAGCCGAATAATAAGAGAGAGGACTAAGAAAAAGGTTTGAAGAATTGATGATGAATATTTATATTTATATTTACCGGCGAGTTTAGGCACAGAGCTCCAGCAGCCATGGCCGTATTTGGTTATGTGGTTGATGAGTTTCTCATCTTCCTCTGGAGACCAAAGCCCCTTTCTCAACTTCTGTTTGTAGCAACAAGAATGCCTGCCCATCTTCACCAATCAATCACTATAAAACTAAATTTTTTGCCTTTGGACAAAATTATTCCTTGCACAAACTCTACTAAATTGAACTATCAGTCAGCAGGGATTTTTGGTATATGAAAGAGAGAGAAACAGAGAGAGAGAGTTTTTGAAAGCGAGAAGCTAGGAATTGAGTCAATATGAAGGGGCCTTTTAAAAAGAGGGGGTCGCATTCAATAAGGGCGTGGTAATTAATTAGTTTTTGGGATTATATTCTCTCTTAATCATGATTAAGAAATGTGAAAAATAATGAGTTGCTAAGGTCTCATCCAATGCGAATGTGTTCTAAGGAAAATAATAATGAGATTGACAGCAGTTGTGGGGCTCTAACAACAGATAATTTTTTATTCGCTTCAAAATTGCAGGCATAAGTATTGCAAGTCTGCTTTGGTAATAATTAAAGGGAGCAAGATTTAAATTTAGAGATGTCAGTCACTCCAAAGTTTGGGCAGGGGAATTTAATGTAGTCAATTGCAAAAATTGAGGGCTCGGATTATTTTCTTGCATGGAAATAATTTCTCGAGTAATAATAACTTTGCATTAATTCAGCTAGGATATTGTTGGACTGGAGAATTTTGTGTCAACCAAACTTCAGTTTATCGTGTTAGTCCGCATTTAATTGGTCCATTGGATCATTGAAAGATTAACTAAGATTGAGTCGTCTGAAGTAGGATGATTAAATAAAATCATATACAGTTTTCAATTATCAATTATTTTCTACCAAGTTATTTTAATTTGTCTGTATCGAGAACTGGGCATTAAGCTAATCCGGAGAAAATAATCCAAGATTCTTTAGGCAGAAACAGTCAAAAGATGTGTAAATGGGGAGAAGGTAAGAGAAATAAGAATTTCCTATGATTAGTTAAGGCTTGCAATCATAGTAATGGACAATTAATGCTTGATTACAAAATCCTCTCACAGTTGGACATTCTCTTGTCGTTCCTGCAAGGTTTATTGAATAATACATATGCGTGCATTTATTAATGCATTGTACTCTATTTCTTTAGTAACAGTTTTGCGAGGTGGCCTTGGAGTTACTGGCCCTGTTTTCTTATTATTATTATTATTATTATTATTATTATTATTATTATTATTATTATTATTATTATTATTATTTCTATTTAGGTTCCATGTTTACGTCTGTCAGTCTTGTATTCATATAGCTGGCCCTCGACTACTTCAAAAGGTAAACCGTGGGGTTTGTCAGTCTTTTACTCTTATAGTTGGCCCCTCGACTAGTTCGAGAGGTAAATCGTAGAATATGCTCTGCTGGAAAATTGATTACCATTACTTTTTTCCTCCAAAGGAGGAAAAAGCTTCCCTCTCTCTGGGATTCATCTCACTACACAGAGAATTCGGGCATAGTGTGGGGGCGGTCGTGCTACCAATAGGCTATTCCCCAATGAGCAAACCTTGTTTTATTTTTACTTTTATTTATGGTTGTGATTATTAAATTTAGCGGATGCATATACTTCGCCACCAACACGGTAAAGGTGTGCTTGATATTAGAAACCAAAACAATGTCCAATCACTTTTCACCAATCAGTTTTTTAATTCAAAATCAAACTCAAATTTAACTTAACTTCACTATACTCTATTTATCAATATAATTAAATTATATCAATTAATCATCTTTGCACATCACATCAATTTTAATTTATTATTCATTTACTCGAATAATTTAACGACAAATTACTTCCAATCATATCTCTCATATTTTTACATTAAATAAATTTTTTATATCTTTATTTTAAATATTATTTTAATACAAACTTAAAATTCCGCTGAAATCTAACTCAACTAACTTTTTTAAAATTGACTATGGTTAACCAAAAAAGTCAGCGAAACCCAAAATATCCAATCAAAAACTTATATCCATGCACACCCTCAACTTTTTTTTTAACCACAAAAATGTCTATATTAAGTATGTTATGATACTAATATCATGCCGATCACTAGAGCTCGTAGGACTTGGGAGCGGCTCGAGCGAGTCGAGTGGACCGGTAGCTCAACTAGGGGTCGGACAACACAATGGCTTAAGGTTGAGAAAGTATCATGTCATCGAGATGAGGATAGCAACAGGTTGAGATAGGGCTCTAGGATATTCTGACAGAAAATCGACCTGTTGAGAGGTTGATCTTTTACCTCAAAATCGGTTTTGGCTAAGTAATGACAAAAATGGCTAAAAATAGGAGCCGAGTTGTTAGCTCGATTGTGCCTAGAACAACTACCTAATGAGGTAGAATATTGAACACATTAGACAATGTATAAATAAAAACATGATTTGCATAAGAATAACACGTGAATATTAAAAAAGCTTGGGCAATAAGATTGGGCAGTCGAGGCACTCGAGCAGTGAGATTGGGCAGTCCGGGCGCTCGGATGGTAAGGTCGCGCAGATCTTGGACAACAAGGTTAAGGGCGTAGCCAAAAAATTTTTTGACCCGGGGTTGCATATTATTGTAGTTATTGTTGTAGTTATTTTTACCGGAGTTAAATCAAAGATTCGACACCGGGTTGTGTCTCTCGAGGAAGGTCAGCCGGATTATTTTGTACGATTATTCAAGCACAAAAATGGAAAATAAAAGAAGTGAAAATCCTAAACATTCTAAATCAAGTTTGGAGATTTGATTATCGTCTACTAATTTGAAAAGCAAGTAATTGAACAGGGCAGGCAAACTAGGAATCACAAATTTAATATATAATGAAGGAGCTAGGGTATCGGGGTCGATCAATTCCGGTTCTCAATACACTTAACGAGCAATCAAGAGCTCGGTTGAATGCTTCGCTAAACTACTCATCTAGAGGTCTATCCTCAATAACTCTTCGTAACAAGAGGATAGACATTAATAAGCAATTCTTGAAGCAATCAACACATAAGCAATACTATTACGAACAAGCTTATTCCTAACGAGCCTAGATCGAACGATTTCTCCCTTTTCAGTTTTAAAATCGATTAGATAGATTAAGATGGTGATCAATCATCAAAACCCTAAGTTAAGCACAACTCGAGAGGATTGAGCAATTATCATGCATATAAATAAAATCAAACCGGAACGATCTTCCCTTAACCCTAGCTAAAGGATTTAGCTACTCATAATGCATTCAACTCCAACACATATAATAATCAAAGCCATTCAATCAATAAGAAAACGAAACGAAAGCTTACGATTGAAGAATCCAATGTTGAATACACGAATAACCGAATCCACAAGCTTAATCTTGGTGTTTTCACAATCCATGATCAAATCCTATGAAGAACTAAGAGAAAAACTGTTTTGGAGTGAATAAAAACGAGAGAGAGTCTAAACCTAGGTGAAAAAGTGAATGAAAAACTGAACAAAAACGCAACTTAAAAATTCTGCTGTTGCGACCTCCGCGGCCGCGGCGAAGAACCTCTCGCGGCCGCGACCGTCTCCGCGGCCGCGACCTCCCCGAGCCAGAATTTGGAACTTTCGTGTATCTCGCGGCCGCGACTTACTCTTCTCCGCGGCCGCGGCGAACAGTTTCTGCACGTCGGTTTTTTTTGGGTTCGTCTTCTCTCATCCGGACTCGGAATTTGACCCCGTCTTCTCCAACACGACCCCAACTCATCCATCTAGACAGTAGACCTCGCATAGCCATGCACCGAGCCACCAAACCTGCACATCACCACCGACAAGAAATACGGAAAACCGGAAAAAACGAACAAAAAGACCAAAAACGACTAAAACAAAGGATATGCGCGAGACGACTCGAAACGGACCAAAAACCAAAGAAAAATACCTAAGTAGGGGAAAAGCAAGCATGAAATAAACAAGGAAAACATGACAAAAGTGGAACGAACAACTCCCCCCCACTAAAACCTTTGTTCGTCCCGAACAATACAAAAAAAAAGGAAAGAAAAGAAAACAAATAAGTGAGTAAGGACAATATAGTTCACGCAAGACCAATCTCAAACCAATTAATCGAACTGAGAAGAATTCCAATGAACACAAGAACACACTTCAATAATTAACTCGGCCATATTGAGGAACAAAGACTCTCGAGTATGCAAATGTATATGCCTCACTCAGTTTCTTTCGCAAAATATAAGATAGGTGCACTCAAATTGGTCATCAGTCACGTTAATCATAAATTTGCCTATCGTCTAACTTTTACTCTAAAACAATCAAAATAAATGAGACAGCGAATCAAGAGGACTTGTAGGGATGTAACGTAGGCTCTTTGGACAGGGTAGGATAAATATAGGCTAAGTGGCTCAATATGTACAATCTAATCCATCACTTCACACCATGACAATAACTCATCCGGTTTCTTCCACAACTCCAAGAACACGTACTTCCCAAACAACACACATTTTTTTCTTTTTTTTTTTTTCGTTTTTTTGTTTTTTTGTTTTTTTGTTTTTTTTTTTTTAATTTGAATGTTTTTGGCTCCAAGATAGTGATAATGATTGAGTTTTAAGGTGTTGGGATGATTTGTTGGATTAAGGACAGGTGAGGTTGAGTTTGAGTTTGTTGTTGTGGCAAGA